TGAAATGCATATTCTGTTGGCTGCATTATGGGAACATTAGTATCTAGTAGATTTGATGATTGACTTATGTGAGAGTAAGCGTGTCTCAGCCTTTGCAGCGTCAATGTTGATCAATCACAATACTATTCAGTTATGAAGCTTTGTCTCGAGGCAAACGCAAAAGACAGTGTGGTGCTATTTGCATTATCTGGTATGGTGACACACAACAGCAAGTACGTCTGTGACCGCTCGTCCTTCGGGACGCTCTGCGGCGCCCCAGATTTCCCCTAAAGAGGGTCATCACTTACTCAGAATGGAAACAGCAGATCTTTTGAGGCTTTGGAGGAAATAGTTGTAAATTTCATTTTTTCTGAAGGTATCACAGGTTCACATTTCGTCTCATCCGTCCCAACAAGAATTTGCGGGGGAAACATTTATTTTTACAGTGTAGAGGCTTCAGTGTGTTGAGTTTTTGTGCGACCTGTGGTTTAAGAAGTGAATTATTAACATGCACAGCTGCTTGTTGGATAATCTGAAAAAATACAAAATTGCGTGTACAAATTCTTGAATGAAGTCGTATCCCCTTTAATCCCCTTTCCAGCCTGCTGCACAGTTAAGAATGAGCTTTGCCTGGAGGGCACATCTGCTCAATACATTGTGCAGGTAAAGCAAACATCTTAACATAAAGAGCGGGGGGGTGGGGGTCGCCCGAGGTGGAGCCCATTCCGTCCAACACCCCTGTGGTAACTTCAGGGGATTATATCCAAATCCTTTCAAATGAACTTTCCATCTCAGTGCCTCCTCCTCCTCCTCCTCCTCCGTCTCAGCCATTCCAACTGTCCGACCATTTCTGCATCACTTTCTGCACGGCCTCGCACCGAGCCGAAACAAATTCCCCCCCGTGAGAAATATGGTTAGCGGCACGCATCCGGGGCGCTGGAGGGGAGGGAGGGAGGTCCGACATTAGGAGTATGGTTCAGTTTAGTAAGATCTGGAGAAGAAAACGGGACACACGTGTCTCAAGCGCACAACTATAGTTGGGAAAATGTAATGGGGACTTGTTCATAGAGACCAGAGCAACAACCATTTAAATTCATAAAGTCCTTTGAGGACAAACAAAATGACGGTTCCGTTTAGCTCTGCAGAAACACACGGGACACATCCGCGGGAGACGGGCCTTAACTTAAGGCACGCTCCACGTCGTCGGTGACTTGCGTAATTAAACGTGGCAACCTGACCTTTTCCGCCTGGAGTGGACGTGGAGGAGGCAACGCGAAGAAAATAAAGAGTTGCTTGTGTCAGGATTCTTGTGGCTCGCAGCCTCTCGGGGATCCTGTCCAGCGATGTGGTGTGAGAGCGCTGCACCTTTGTAAACACCGTGCCGCCATACGCAGGGGGGGGAAGTGATCCGCATGGGGCGAAGTGTGGGTCGTTTTGTTAGGAGGAGGAGGAGGGGGGGGGATCAAGAGCTTGGAAGTGAACTGAGCCCACTGAGGCAAAGTCGATGGCAGAGATACCAAACACACGCTCAGAGGGCCGGAACACAAACAGCCACGGTGTGTAAATCAAAGCCAGAGCGCACACACACACACACACACACACACACACACACACACACACACAAACACGCACACACGCACCACTGGGGAAGTGGAGGAAAAGAGGCTGTGGTAACTTTTCCTCTGTTTAAGGGCGCCACTTTGAAAAAATGAATTTCTATAAAAAAAAAAGCCCTACGATGACGAAAGACCAAAATGTGTTTTATTGCTCAACGTTTCCTCGTGAGTGTGACGCCAAACGTGCTCTCATTGTGCTCCATTTCCTGGCAGGCCCAGTTTTGTGGGATTTTTTTTCATTCTTTTTTGCACCTCATTCATCCATTCACACCCAGTGCATTATTACAGCCTAATCAACGCATGGTGCGTTTTTTCCTCAGTGCTGGAACAGCTTGAAGAATTGTGAGAGGCACAAGAGAAAGAGGAGGAGGAGGAGGAGGAGGAAGAGGAGGAGCGGCCGGGCCCGGAGCTATTCTCCTGCTGGAAAGCCTCATGCACGATGGACCGGCCAACCAACTCTGCAAGGAACCGACTGTGCTTTTATCGAGGAACCACATTTAGTGGATTCAAGAAGGTTGTTTGTTATTGCGTACACAGCAGAGTTTACTACAATGCAATGGAAATCTGAAGGGTTTTAAGTTTAATGATGTGTTTATTATAATAGTAAAAACGACTAAAGTAAGGAAAATGCAAACTGAAATGGAATATAAAGAGATGTAATGTCATGTGCGCTCATCTTCTTCTCGGTCTCCTTTTAGATCGTTCCCACATGCTTCCCCGCCGCTCGGCTCCCCAGAGGTGTCAAGCCAGCCTGAAAGAATGAAGTGCCTCTCCATTGTGCTGCCCAACTATTATGTGCTTAACATCTCCATGACAAGGGTGCCACTCGACTTCTCCTTTCGTCCATTCAGCGGGGGGGCCCTCGCCCCCCCCCCCCCCCCTCCCCTTCCTCTCATACCCCTCTTCTTTTAAGGAAACATTTTGCAGAAGATAGTCGATTTCAAAAAGCCCCATGAGCCGCCTGAAGACGTGACCAGCGTCTCGTGAAAACAATTACAACTCTGCTAAAAACAAAGATTAATAGCATGAATCTTAATTCCAGGCAACTAGAGGAATCTAATTAAGCTGCTGTGAGGTCAGAAACGTGTCATCACTTCTGCATTGATTGATTATCCTAATAACTCCAAAATGAAAATGAATTAGAACACTCCTTAATCATGAAAATAAAAAAAAACGGCAAGGGCTGTAAATCCTGATACCTGAGAGTGTTGGTGTCGGGTGTTGGTGGGAGGGAGCGAGGCGAACGAGGGGGGACGGGGGGGCTCGGTTGATTTATGGTGCCAGTTGCTTTTGACAGCAGCCGTCTAAATCAAGACGTAGCAGGTCATTAGGTCTCCAGTCAACAGAGGAAGCCGGCCGGCATTTTTTTCTACAAACAAGCCTGTATTCTCTTCACACGCTTCCTCGCCCGCACGCCGTGTAAAATGTAACCACTGCTTCTTGACAATAGCAAATTTGTAACTTTCGTCTTCGCTAGATTTATGACAGAAAGAACTTTTGGAACCGTCTGGTGTGTCCAGAAAAATGTGATCATATGAAAAATGCAGCATTTGGCAGCAGGTCGAGGTCATCACATCCAGCATCTAAAGCGCTGCCGTGTTGCGTATCGGGCTGTCAATATAATATCCACATCCAACGCAAAACAATATACTTTTTTTTAACGGCTACCGGCTACAAATATAGACCAAGATGTTGCGTGTCGTATCATGTGTGCAACAGGTTTCGGGCAGAGACAGATTTCCCCTGTGGAGATAATAAACTACATCATATCGCAGGGTATTAGTGCGTTGTTGGCTCCCTGATGGACACGGTGCTCTCACATCTGACTTGAACCATTACGTAAACTAACAAAGTGCGTAAAGTAAAAGATTCTCACGCATATTGGATTTACACGAGGCGCTAAGTGACCATTCTCAAAAGGACATTGACGTTTGATTCTTCCTCCACCTGGTATTCACCTCCCATAAAAACAATATTGCTTTCCTCATACGCCGCGCACAACAACCGACCCGGCGATAATAAACAGACCTCGTGTCTTTGGTGTGACCAACAATAACACAGAAGCAAACGAACAAACACACTCAGCAGTCGAGAAAGGATATCTTCAAGTTTCCTTTATGCCTCCTATAAAAGTATATCGTTAAGGCAAATCATACAGTGGATTTAGACGTGTCTTTCTCTAGGCTGTACACGGTGAATAAAGCCAAAAACATAGAGGATTCTCTGGGTGGGAACAAAAAAATCTATATAGGCTATACACATATATACACAATGCACATTATCTTTGAAGAGAATATAAGGTAGGTTCCCTTTAAAGCTGGAATACTTGTTATTCACACGGAGGACATTTGGGTGGCTTGTAATAAATTACTATTTCACTTTTTAAACTCCTGCGTCTATTTACAGCTACACACAGTTCATAGGATTTCATCATTAAATATCTGTAAATCAGATTAGACTGGTGCCCAACAAAAACGGCAACTGGCGTCATAGAAAAATAGTTCATATCTTTACAAAAAAAAAAAAAAAACAGGGAGATTGGCAGTGCACAGCTGATCAATGGTTTCTACCAAAACAAGCCCGGCGGCGTCTCCATGGCGACGACTTCAGGAGGCGATCTGGCTCATCACATCAGCAGATGTGGGGTTTGAGGACAGGGAGGACAGAGACGCCCGGGGGACCGACAGACGTCCCGCAGCCTCTGGAAGACTCTTAGTCCGAACAAAACACGCGTGCCCCCCTCCTCGAGTCCGCTTAATCTGTGCAGCGGGGACAGAGTTTAGCCTAAACCAAAGTGTGATTAAACAAGAGCAAGTAGAGCCAAAATGGAGGCCAGCAGGGTCAAAGCGCCGCGGGTCGCCGGAGGAGCGCCTCCGCTCTCCGGCTCCTCCGTGTAGTCCTCGTAGTCCTCCTCCCGGTCGTTGTCCGAGCCGCTGCCCTCGTCCCCCCGGGCGGGCGAGTCGAAGCACAGCTCCTTCATGCTCCTCTTCACGTACTCGCAGATGGCACGCTCCGTGCCGTCGCACGTGCACGCGTCCAGCTGCTGGCCCTTGGGGATCTTGCGCATGTTCGCGATCACGGCGCGGCAGGCGTTGGTGCAGATGGCGCCGCTGAACAGCTTCCCGCAGTGCTTCAGGTAGTCGTGCATCGCGGAGCTGCACTGGCCGTCGCGCTCGCACTGGCGCCGGGCCTCCGTGCAGCCGGTGCTGGTGGTCCTGGGCAGGCAGGGCTCGATGGCCCGCTTGGTGCTGGTGCACAGCGGGTCGTGGGCGCAGCTGCAGTCCTCTAGCGCCGGGCCGCTCTTGGTCATGTTGAGCTGCACCAGGGACGATATGCAGTGGCTCGGGCACTTCCTGCGCTCGCCGTTCAGCACCGGGCCGCACGCGCGCACGTAGTGCTCGTACGCGTAGTTGCACTCGGGCTCGGCCTGGCAGTTCATGATGGCCTTCCAGCAGATGAGCCGGCGGCCGTGGGGCGGAGAGGCCGCGGCGAGGCAGCCGAGGAGGAGCAGCAGCAGCGCGCAGCCGAGGGGCAGCGCGGAGCGACGGGCGCGGCGCGCCGCGGCGCCGGGGGTCGCCATTGGTGTGGCTGCGGGGAAAGGGGCGCCGCTCACCGCACTCTCATATACAACAACAGCCAACAACAATGATGACTTTCTTCACCGCTTCCTAACCAGAGGAGTATATTCCCAGGCAGATGGTGTGTGTGAGTGCGCGTGGGGGGCGTTCAACAGGTTGCCACAGCGCGGTGTAATTCCGGCTCCATAAAAGCCGTCAGCGTTGATCCGTTCGAGCCGGGCTCCTGCGCGACAAGCTCCCGCTGTCCGCTCATGACCGGGGAGGGTGGAGTGAAGTCCTTGAACTCCTCACGGTGGTCAAAAAAAAAAAAGGACGCAGAAGGAAAAGTTCTCCACAAGTTGAGGAGAGTTTCTGCAGCGGATCATTCCATCGCGGTGCTTCCCTCCGGCTCCGCTGTCCTCTCCGCCGCAGCGGATCTCAACTGGCCCCCACCGATGCGAAGACGGCACAAGTTCCGAGAGCCCTCTTTCGCGGGACCGCGCTGGGTCATCTAGCAGTCCTCGTGCTCACGGAAGTGCAAAACAAATAGCGCACGGGGAAAAACAACAAGCCGTGCGGGTCGCGGGTCGCTCCTCTACTCTCTCCCCTCGGAGCGTTTGCCTTTCAGTCCCCCCCGTTTCCACGTATGAGCGAGGGGCTGCTCATTGGTTGTAGGTAGAGGTGGGCGGGGTTCAACGAGGGGGGAGTCTGTCGGTGAGAAAAGATTTGTGGGAAGAGCGCTCCTCTTTATTATCAGAGGGGGGGTTGAGAACTGTTTAATGCTCAAAGTTTTATGAAATCACGTCCTACACCAATTATTATTATTGTTTCTAATTGATTGATCGCTTGCTTTGATTCGCAATTTATAATTATTAAAGGCAACAGGATTTATTCAATTTGAGTGCTTTGTTGTGTTTGGTTCACATTACATAAGGCAGCATCCGTGGATTGAAGCATGAACTTGTAGGTCGTAAAAAAAATTCATGGTGATTCTTCTCTTTACTTTATTCACATGTAGGCTCTTGACATTATCTGCTTATCGGTTTAGTTTCCCAAAAACCTCCACTACACTAACCCTTACCTCTACCAAAGGTTGGTCCCTGTACCATTCACAGCGTGATTCCAATTGACTTCCTTCCTAACAACATGGTCAACTCCTTTTTTGATATGAATGATGCATTTTGGCTGATTTTGTGGAACCAGAAGGGACTCTAGAAGGTGACCAAAATGTCATAATTACCGTTCGTAAAGGAGAAACACTCTTTAAAAGGGTTAACGTTAAAGCTGTAGAAGTATCCCCGCCCTAAAAACACTCTATCTGACTCTAAATGGACCATCATTTACTAAATGAACATCATGCTCAATGGAAGGAGACTTCCAACTAGATATTGAGACTATAAAGTCATGACTACAATGTTTACGGAGGAAATCAAGATAGAAGGCGAATCGTCTTCTTATTGATGTCTGTACAAGCAGAGGAGTCGCCCCGATGGAGAGAACGCAGGTTTAAGGCACTTCTGCGTTGGCTTGTCACATTACAGAAACAGAGGTTGCCGTCTGAAAACAGAATGACCGTCCAATTTGGACAGTACAAACTGTGTGAGCTGCAGTTCTTCTTCAAGCAGCCCCCAATGTGTACTTTTACATTTCTAACCATCATAAATGTTGCTTCCTGAAGTTTTGAATTTACAGCCTCTTTTCAAGAGCTTAGATGAGATATCGTCATGGAGCTCATCCTTAAACTGACATATCAGTGTGTGTGTGTGTGTGTGTGTGTGTAAAATCAGTGCCCACATGTTGATATATGAGCGAGAGGAGGCAGTTCAGCTCTTGAGGCCTGCTGCGGATGAGGGAGGGGGCAGCGAGGGCACAAAGGCTGTTTGTGTGTTCAAACAGCATTCTGATCTCAGGAATGTACCTTCAGGCCACAGCCGTGAGCTTCCCGCTGCAAACAATGCACTCAATGTCAGTTACGGCCGGCTAGCGCCGACGCTGCTGGCGCTGCTCCAAGGCCCCGACTCGTTGGAAATGATGGATCCAGGGAACTCAATACCTTGAGGAGTCTCCTCTCCTACCTCCCCCTCTGGCACAAAGAAGGGCAAACAGTGTGTGTCGTGACAAAAGATCCCCAAAACAGCAGTGTCGTCATTGTTTCGAGTGCTTTTTACCTCAACTGTAATACGAAACGAAGGCAACACCGCTAAAGCAGCCATTAATCTTTTGTATATGAGTGGTGGTGTTGTGGTTGGCACCGTCGCCTCTGAGCCAGAACTTCCCGGGTTGGGTTTCTGTGTGGAGCCTGCACGTTCTCAGCAGGTACTCCTGCTTCCTCGGGGGATTCGGGTAGGTGTAGCCCAGGTGTACCCCGTCTCTCATCCCCCCCCCCCCCCCTGTGACCTTGTATGAAGGAAAAGCGGCTTTGAGGATGACTAAATGAAAAGTCTCGTATTGTGGGTGGAAAAGGCCTCTTTAAAAGCTCATCAACCACATGAAAACAATCTTTCATCCTAATCACTAACAGGCAGGAGGATGATCAAATCATCCAACACTTTTGCCTTTGCCAACAGCTGCGCAATTGAACCAGATGTGCTGAGCTGAGATGAGGCTGAGCGCTGTTACTTTGAGGGATGAATGAAAAGCGTTCTTGCCGTAGGAGTCCAGTTAAGTGGACATAGTGGTGTTCAAAACCTCCCCCTGCTAGTGCTCATAGCCAGCGAGGCTCTGTGCGACGGACGAGCATCAGGCCCTTTTCCAAAACACACAGTACTTTGTCGGGATTGATATTTAAAGTATAAGTTTGCTCTTTTAAGTACTATTTTAAAAAGTAAACTGGATTCCACTTGTGCTAATATATACTTAAAAAAAAATCTGCAGTTTCTCCTAAAACCCCCAATTTCATTCCATTAAAGATGTCTCTGAAAGCCTATTTCATACGTTATGAGACACTTGCTGCACATTTCTGACACAAACGGTGTAACTCCTAAATGGTCGAAGGGCTGACGAGGGATGCCATCATGTACTGAGTGAGCTGGATTCCCAGAGAGCAGGTCAGCGGCAGTGGACCTGCCCTGCACCCAGCCTTCTGTAGCAGGGTACAGGAAATGAGTTAGCAGGAACTATCCGTTCAAATTGCTTCCTCTTTGGGATTTCAGAGAAGCGATAATGGCTAAAGTGATAAGTTATTTGGAAAGAGACCAAAAAAAAAAAGCTTAAGGATTCATTTCCTTCCTCGTCTTTGCCTGTTAATTCGCCTCAGTTTGGTCCGTCCTCTTCAGAGGATTTGAGTCGCTGTCTTTGGGTTGGGAACTGCAAAGCCCTGCAAGTTGGCAGATAATGGCAGGGAGACAGAAATAAAGCACTATTTTTGCAGTAAGAGCCGTGAGTTGCTTTGCTTGCGAGGGACAAATCCCCTGCAGCACCAAACAACAAACCACCGGCCACTTTCACAGAACATTGCTACTACGCAGTTTGCAAGGGACAAAAATTGGGAAACTCTCTCTGCTGCTGTGCTTTAAACTGTGTCTTTCATATGCTGCTGAATGGTCACAATGTCAAAGGTTCCTTTAATCAGTGAGATTAAAGTCATCCATCATGTCAAACATGCACTGGCCTGCTGACCCTTTTAGCAAAGGCCACTGCGTCATTTCAGTTCACCGTGATCTGATCCGCACATTTGGCCCATCAGGAAACTAACTGGTGAAAATAATTAGAGAAGTTTCAATCGGGGCCAGAAACATGGTCAAGTCACAGTTTGGACCCTGTAATTCAGTCAGTTACAATAATTGAGGAAATCAAACATTTTTTCTTTTGTTTTTCAGACACACTTTGTTTGAAAAGAATCAAATAAATGGTTTTAGTGTCTTTCAGGGGCTGACGTGCGCCCCCACGTCCTCGCTCTGTGTCTGGCTTAATGGAATGTCGTTGTTCACTTATTTCCCGCCTGCTTTCCACTGTCAGCATCAAATAAAGTCGTATCATTTCCCCCAACAGAATGTTACGGAAGAAGAAAGGGTGATGTGGATGGAATGACCACAGCAGTCATCGTGGACCGCATGTCCTCTAATCGTAAACAGTGGAGTCCATTAGTGGTGCAGAACGTGCTTTTAGAACTGTAATTACATCCAGGTATCTCTTACAGTATTTACCCCGACAGAACTCTACGCGGCCTCTGCACGTGGGCAGCTGCTGCGACACATGCTCCTCAGCCCCGATGCCTGCATCAGGGGCTGTTTACACGGACCCCGAAGGCCCCTCATATCACTGCAGACAAACAGCAGCACATATGGACGGACCAATAAAAGACCTAACCTGCGACACAGACCTTCATCTACCGGACACGGAATGCAGCAGGGAGGAATTTAACAATATGAAAAACAGGACAAAGCAAAAAAAGTACCCATCGTTACTTGACGCACACGTGCTAAGCTTCTGCTGTAGATGAAAGCATCAGTTTTATTGTAGGGTTCAATAGAGACTCGTGAGAGTCTAAATGGAAAGTTTTTTTAGCTGTTTACAAGAAGAAATTGAGGAATAGTTTTTAAAAATTGCTACGGACACAATAACGGTCCTTTGATGTCTTTGGGTTTGGCTGCCAATGCAACTGATGCCAAAAAGATACGCTGATAAATACTTTAATTTAAGGAATACAAATACTGTCAACAACATCATTATACAACTTGTATTACTTGTATTGTATGTATTACTCACAGAGAACCTGATAGAGGATTCTATGAAATTAATATCTTTTTTTAAAACTTTTTGGCAGTTCTCAAAACAGTGTGGACATATTTTCGCTCAGCCCTTAAGACGTATCAGGGCTCGAGATAATAATGAACAAAATGTCAATCTCCCTTTGGTGTTTTCATTTTTACCTCCTTTTTGGTACTTTTTACTAAAAGAGCTGAAACGAGGTCAACGAGGAAGATAAATAAAGAGAATGTATATGAAACAAAGTTCTACTGACCACCGTGCCAAACACAGGCCTTCCATTAATGCTTTACTCTCTTAAAGTGTTTGTCAAACTACTGACATTTCCAACCTCCTCAGCTGTACTTTGTGTTCACTGCTAACGAGCTAATGTTAGCAAGCTAACCCGCCAAAATAAGCGCTCACGCCGTCATTTGATACATTATTATGGAGAGATTAGAGCCAGAAGGAGCCCGCAAGACCAAGACGGAGTTCCTCCCTCCCCCGTTGAACCTCAGTCTGAATGTGAAACTCTACCCACGCCCCCCCCCCCGACGCCCCCCCTCCCCGTTTGGCACGTTCCTGAAGCTCCAACGCCGTTATGAGGCCACTTCATAGGAGTGTAAACTGTGTATTTAAAAAGCCGTCATTGTGGGACCAACATTGGCCCTGGTGTAGGTTGTTAGAATAACTGAATGACACAATGGTTTCTTTTCTAAATAAACAGATGTGGGTAAGCTATTAAAACCTCCATTTTTTTTCCTTTCCCTCGCTTCCTCTTCGTCTCCTCCTCCCCTCCTCCATCCCATCTGTAAGTGGTCTCACACACATAAACACACGCTCGCTCGCTCGCTCGCTCTTTCTCTCTCTTTCGCTCACTCTCACTGCTTCTCCCTCCCTCCCTCCCTCCATCACACATGTCTAAGAAAGGCGAGCGGGCCGGTTTCCTCCTGCAGCTGTTCGGGACAGACGGGCCTGTATTCCAGCCTGCGCAGTGAAGTGATATCGGCCGTCCACCCCGGCTGATTAAGTGCGCGTCA